GAGGTCGGAGAGTCTGCAACGATTACATCCTCGAAATCAATTGGGGTATGTGGTTTGAGGATATTGTTTAAATGAACCGCTGCAGCGGCTGGTAACCTTGCAGCTGTTGGTGCACTTGAGCGGTAGCTGATAGAATCTTGTGTAAAGACGACCTATGTCAGGTTGTTAGGGTGGGATTCTTTCGGCCAATGGACCTATGTTGGCATGAAGGCGAATATGCACCTTTTCGTTGATAAATTTGGCTATCTCTGCTCTCATTGGTTTCTGGTTGGAAGTTAGCTTTTGCATTTCAGGTCGTGGGGGATATAGACACATTCTCCGCCATGCCAAATGAGATGAGACCCGTCGGGTTCTCCTCTGGGTCATAGGTCTGGGTTAGACTAAAACGCCAGGGTATATCCAGCTCCTTGACATTTTCGCTTCCCCGGAAAGATAACATCATGGGATAGATAAGCGTGAATGTCGATTGCTGGCTGTCAAAGAGCAATATATATTTTGAAATCCAGGCTAGAGAAAATACTTACCGAATAATATACACAGGGATTCGAAATAAAGTCGTGGGGAATTAAGGTGTTAGGCTAATCCCAGCCCCCTGCGGGGACCGTGGGGACGAGCACTTTATTGTGTAACGGAGATGTGAACCCAACTTGACCTCTCAATAGCCCACAAAGCCCAAAGCCCAACTCAGCCCAACCCACCAAATGGGCCCCAAACAATACAAACATACTAAATTATTGTAGGTGTGTAATTAATACATTTTTTTCTCTGGTTTTTTAGGGTATCCAAATTACCGTCGGACCGATACATAAAGCTATTCAGAAACCTTATTCTAAGCTTATAAATTAACTTATAAGACTAAGTGATTTGATTGATAAGATATGAAATGATAGATAATTTATATACTAAGTATACTGAAACATATCATCTTCCCTTCGTATTCTCTTCCTCCCTAATATACGTAGCTGAGTATAAATACTCGGTAATTGTAGCCCCGTAGTAGTATCGTTATCTCTATTGTCAAAACATCTACCTATACCAAGACCGTCGTCACCTATATCTATCAAATCTCTAGATTGATTACCCTATTCTTTAGTATCACTAATCTTATCAATTTCAATATCTACTTAATTCCTACTTCTTACTATAGTAATATGATGAGACTCAATATATAGGTTGGTATATGCGTAAAATACAGCCATTAACCAGCTACTTTATATGTGCTAAGACCGTATTTGTGCACAGAAATGGGCTTTTGATGGGCATTGGTGGGCGCCCATCAATGGGCTGTGGGTTGGGCTATGGGCTAGGGGCTTGGGCCCATTTATGGGCTATTGAGAGGTCTAAACCCAACTATAGAGATCTTTGATGCTATGCACAGAAGAAGTTGGTAGCATAACAATAATATTGTACATAGGTATAAGAGAGGAGAAACGCCGAGCCGCTATGCTAAATGGCCTAATGTACACGTCCAAATATCCAAATCACAACAATCAATATCTCGTGCGCGGCCGTTTGCGCTTGTCAATCTTCTTCTTCTCTGCAATGAAGTTCCAACATTCAATTGGACGCCGGGACCCAATATGCTTTCCGTTGGGAGAGAAAACTTCGACCTGCGGATAGGAAGGTTCGTCTTCAGCGTCCCGCTTGCTGCGGATTTGTATACTGAGCTCGATCCAGCCGCAGCCCTCGATGAGAATATCTGCCGACATTACGCGGTATGGCAATGGAGGAACTGGGATTCCCCTGTCCTTGACAGCTTTGGCGAGCGAGGTAGGAAGGTTTGAGGTGGTGGTATCCCACTTCAAGTCGAAGGTACCGGCTGAGGTTATTGTGCTGCCGGTTCCTTCTTTCATAATGACAGTTCCCCGGTATGGGATTTCCTCAGCCTGTGTGTCAATTGCCTTCTGTGTGTTGGTGATATGAGACTCGAGAGGGAGGAAACTGGCGGACATGACTGTATCCTGGGGGTTCACCGGGGTAATGCGGATAAGACCACCACCAAGCAGAAGAGACTGGCCGGGTTTAATGGTCGAACGTTCAGGTTTGATTCGCTTCGTCATGATCAAATCACGCTTGTGTTCATCCTGAACGAAGTCCTCCAGTAGACCACGCTCTAGGCCGGGCAAATCGATGACCTCACCCTTTCCGCGGCCGAATGGAATACGGATAGGCGAGACTGTAGTGCCTGGAAGCGAAGACACGACTGGAAGCACAGGATAGAGATCCTCGCGAGGTGCAGGGGGTAAAAGGCTGTCGGGGTCAAGAAGGGTGTTCTCTCGCTGGTTTGGAATTTCATTTCCACTCCGGCGGCGTTGAACCCACTCTTCGATTTTCTCCACATTCCTGGAATCCTTGGGGAAACAAGCTTCAATGAAGCTGCTCTTTCCGACATTTGCCTTGCCAACGACCCAAATTCCGCCGCCATGCTCTCGGATCTCTTCCTTGACTTCCTTGGTCCACCAGCCACGATGCGCGCTAATCATGTGCACGTTGCCCAAACGGGCCTCCCTCCCTGATCTTCCCAAAGCTGCACGGAGCTCCGTGCGAATGTAATCCATCTTCGAGTCTACCTGCTCTTTGGTTGCCGCCAAAAGGTCCGAGCGCGTGATTATAAACGAAAGAGATGGAAGTTTTCTTCCGCGTTCGTATTTCTCATTCGTAGATCGTCGGTTCCGCGAACGTTGCTCCTGCAGCATTAAAGCCCAATGAATGCGTGGAACGAGAGACATTGGGAAATCGGCAGCATCGATGATATGGTAAACACGGTTGTATTTGTACGGTGATTCTTCCAGATAGTTTCGTATGGACACAATAGTCGGCTTAGGCGAAGAGACTGCCTTGTTGTGGTGTATCAAGTCGTGGCAACGATCGCAGACTTCGGTAATTCGACCGGGAGATCCAAGGAAGTTGTTCTCGGGATCGACGGCTTCTTCCGGAAAAGCTCCATCTTTGTATCTAGTCAGCAAATGGTGCGCTTGAGCAATAGTCTAGATGTCCTACCTTGAATGGGCTTGGGTGGCACTGCCTCCACGATGGCATCGTTCTGCTGTGCGCTCAAGTTATTTCGCTCGGTGGTTATAGCGTCATTTTGTTGTGTATTTTTATATTCAATTGCTTCCTTCCTCACGGCCAGTAGCTTTCGAATCTGCTTTCGTGATGTACCATAGTATCCTGGCTCGTTTGCCTCAACTGTTTGGGAGAATGCGCCACATCCTGGGCAGCACACAGGCAGGGAATCGGTTAGTGTGTCGACCTGAGGCTCAGCTTGGGGCTGTTCTCGTTGAAAGCGAGTTGTTGAGAAGCATCGGCATTGCCTGCGGAGGTCCGTAAGGACTTCGGACTGTGGCGCGGCGCGTGATGATGAAAAGAGCGTTTGAGCCTGGGATCGAGGGATGGTCCTTGGGAACAGACGCAGCAGATTTAATCTCGGGTTTCTGAACACTGCACCTCGAGAGCAGAGCGACATGATGGCGTGTGGAATTGCGGAGTAGCGGAGCTTTTTTTTCTTTGGAGACAGTTATCTATTATCTATCGATAGCGCACATGGCAAGTTCGGGCCGCCGTACAAGTATAAGCTAAGGCTGCGGAGCAACAATCGTTTATTATTTTCTTTTAACAGACAAATAGACTAAAATAGGCTTGAATTGAAGGCAGTGAACAACTTTTGTATTGAAAACTCCCATCGGAGGCTGAATTATTGACACAGAAGGCGCTGAAACACAGATGCGCTAGAGAATCCCTGAAAGTAGTAGTAAAAGAACGCCGTCGTGAACCATGGAAAGCTACTGGTTATGATAGAATATTAAGCACGCGCTTTTCCCTTTCCCTTGTCTGACTCATCCATCTCGTCATCGGAGTCGCTCATGAACTCGTCGTCATCATCGAAACCAATGAATTTCCTGGGCGTAGCCTTTTGCGGCACAGAGGGCCCGGAGACAGCATTAGATAATTCGCCATTTCCCTCGCTCTCTTCGTCCTCGCTAGACGAAGCATCCTCCTCACTTCCCTCGTCGCTGGCGCTGGTGCTGGATCCACCCAGGATTGCGTCGCGAAGATTGTCTGTCCATCCGCCATCCTTTACAGCACGTAGAACTGCCTCACGGGTCTTTTCGCTCATTTCTTCCCTGTCTTCCATCCACTGTCCATCCAACTTCTGTCTGCCGCTGCCGTTCTTCAGTTCATCCTGGCGCTTTTCGGCCATGTCCACCACGGACTGCCATCGGCGCTGGCGTTCCTCCTTTTCTTTTTTGTCCATCTCTGGCTTGACAGCAAGGTATTCTGCGAGAGCCTTTGCCTCATTGACAGTGCGCAGCCGGCGGCCATCGAGATTGCGACTGGAGCCATTGTTGTCGCCTTGGTTGCGCTTGCGCTTGCTGGACATGCGACCACCGGCGGCACGCAGTTGGGAGCCGAAACCACCTTTTCCACCGCAGACGGGGGCTGTCAGGCGAAGCGGAAGGAGTGTAGAGGTAAAGACGCCATCACGGGTTGGGAGTAAAGATTGGATACATTCGGAGGTGGCTGTGAGTTGTTTGTTATTTGTTGTAGTAAGGACGAGCGACCGAAGAGGAATTGATGATGGGAGATATGAAGCGATCTTGGCCGTCAGGTCTGATGTGCTCGCTGTCGATGGCAAGGTGAACGAAAGCGTCGCTGGTAGCGACAGTCCCGGAAAGGACGACAGCAGGACGTTGACATTTGAGGAATCCATATTTGAGCGTGTCAGAAACAGTTCCTGATATAGGAGAGTCCGACTGGTGAGTTGTTTGTAGGAAGAAAATACAGTTGTAGCCTTGAAAGATTGAAGATGTTGCGATAAGACCGAGGGTCACGCGGTCGCCGCCCGCAGCAATGATGACTCATCACATATGCTTCATGAGTAGTCAGCGAGAGAGGTACCTCTCACGTGATATATTATGTGGTAAACATATCATGTGACCTGAACCACAAATTGATTAGGGTGTTAACCCTACACCAAATTCGGTCCGTCGCACTTTTCTCGCAGCGAAGCTCCACTCTTAATCCATCATTTAAATCAACCATTATTCTCGGGCGTTGTCAAAGCGATTCCCCGACTTGCACCAGGAACTCGCGACAATGTACGTATCCTTGTTTTTCTGTGATTATTTCCGACATATTCATTCATATTCACTAACAATGGCGCAGGCTTATCCCCAAGGACGACCGCAAGAAGATCCACGAGTACCTCTTCCGTGGTATGTAACGAGAACCCTCGTCGACGGTCCCCGCGACTTCACGACCTTGCGCTCGGCCACCTGTGTGCAGATTCACTAACCTATACTCTAGAGGGAGTGCTCGTGGCCAAGAAGGACTTCAACCTTCCCAAGCACGGTGACATTGACACCAAGAATCTCTATGTCATCAAGGCCCTCCAGTCCCTGGACTCCCGCGGCTTTGTCAAGACTCAGTTCTCGTGGCAGTACTACTACTACACCCTCACCCCCGAGGTACGATCCATCCACACCTAACATATCTACATGTCCAAATACTAATTGAATAACAGGGTCTGGACTACCTCCGTGAGTGGCTCCACCTCCCCGCCGAGGTTGTCCCCGCCACCCACATCAAGCAGCAGCGTTCCCACGCTCCCCCCCGCGGCATGATGGGCGGTGAGGAGCAGCGCGGTGAGCGCCGTGGTCCCCGTGCTCCCCGTGAGGGCGGTTACCGCCGTCGCGAGGAGGGTGGAAAGGAGGGCGGTGCCCCCGGCGAGTTCGCTCCCTCTTTCCGTGGTGGCTTCGGCCGTGGCCGTGGTGCCGCTCCCCAGGAGTAAATGCTGAGAGGCATTGGTGTCCTGTCAACCACTTCTCGGTCAATCTAGAGTCTTGATGGTGTATTCGAATTTGGCTGCCGGACTAGGGGTTTCTTGAAACGGGCCTTACCCTCGGTGCACCTCGTTCCAGCTTTATTGGGACTTGGGGATACAGGAAACAAAAATAAAAAGAACAAATTTATGTTTCCACTGGTTTCATGATGTAGATCCATGTGCATTGATGTAGATTGATTCAATGATAAATTCATGAACTGAGTGAAATTGGTATTCGTAATGTTCGTGTAGGTCTTCCAGCTTGGCTGGTCGATGTGCCCGCATACTAAGATCTTACACGTTCTGGTCTATGTACATGGCCGTTTGTCGCTAAAGTGAGCACCACCTTACAGGAATCTCTTCCGGTCATAGCGGACTACAGCCTGCAAAATGACAGATGCTCCAGTAGCGCAATCATCGGCAGTGGAGAACTCCTCAGGGTGATGACTGAGGCCATCCTTGCATGGGATAAAGATCATGCTCGTTGGGACACGCTTGGAAGTGAAGACACTATCATGGCCAGCGCCGCTCATAATGGTCCGCACAAGTGAAGTTGTATCCGCAACAGAAGCATCTGCGACCACAGCCTGAGCGGACTGCTGCACGCAATCAATACAATCTTCATGGAACTTTACAGCAGGCGAGTCGAAGTCAAGTGTCCACTCGACGCGGCAAGGTTTACCAATACCAGCACCCTCAGCGGCAGCAATAGCATCGAAAGCAGTGCGCAGCTCCTTCTCAACTTCGGCAACCAGCTCTGTCTCAGGCCCACGGATGTCCAAACTAAAGCTGACCTCTCCAGGAACTGTGTTCACACTGCCGGGCTTTGCCTCCACAATGCCAACGCTGGCAAGACAACCCTTCGAAGATGCCACTTCCCGTGCCCGCACCATCATTTGGGCGAATGCATAGAGGGCGTCTGCTCGATGTTCAAAGGCGGTGGTTCCTGTGTGTGTATCTCGACCGATGACGTTGAGACGGAACCATCTGTAGGCCTGTACAGCCGTCACAACTCCAACTCGCTGGTTTGCCGACACCAGGTATGGACCTTGCTCGATGTGGACTTCGAAATGGGCGGCCATCGGTGTTGACTTGTATGAGCACGGAACATCACCCAAGTAACCGATCTTCTGTAGGGCACTCTTCATGGTCTCTGGTGCTGATGCTGCTGTAGGAAGTGATGCCACCGTTGGCACCTCTTTAAGATTATGCGCATGCGCCAATGGGATGCACTCGGCCCATACACCACTTGAGATCATGCTGATTGGGAATCGAGCACCCTCCTCGCTGGACACGGTCAGTGATATTCCTTTTTCCAAGTTGGGAGTCGGGATCTTACTTGGTCCAGTCGACAACCCCGACTCCGCCCTCCGTCTCCAGACCCATATCGTTCATGGTTTTGATGACTTCGATACCTGCTAGCACACCCAGGATACCATCGTACCGTCCACCAGTCGGTTGTGTATCGAGGTGACTTCCAATAAATGTGGCAGGTACATCTGCTCTCCGGCCAGGACGAACAGCAAAGATATTACCCATCTCGTCCACGGTGACGTTGCACTTGAGATCTTTCATGGTTTGAATGAACCAGTCACGGACACTCTTGTCATCTTCTGAAAGCGCTAGGCGCTGCATGCCAGTATCTGTAGGTCCACTGTCAAGTCGCCGAGGCTGTTGTTAACGGTGGTTCTTTGGTAACCTTGAAAAGGATGGTTGTAGCTTACTCTCCCCATCTAATCCCAGATCCCCATTGACATGAGTGGTGGAGATCGTTCGCCAGGCGTTCCTTGTTGGCTCTGAGCGCAGAGACCTCAGTCTCGGACAGTTCTGTTGTCAACATAGCTTGTATTCGTGATGAAGAGAAGGTTCGAGGAGGGTTTGAAACGGCAGGCTTGGCAGATTAAAGACACGTTCTTGGGTGAGTTCATAAAAAGCGAGAACGCGCCATAATGAAGCGTCCTATCGCTTTATATAGGAAAAGCTGGAGGGTCTGGAGTACTGTGTATGGTCATTGATAAGAAGTGGAGTTGGGCGGACAAAAGTCCGCAGTGCCGCGATAGTCCCCGGTTTACTTCCAACCCCCGCAATATGGAGACATAGCCATATTACTTCCCTGTTGACTAGGGTTGACTCTTTTGGAGTGATACATATATCCTTCTAATGTCTAGATATCTTATGTCTTTGAATGGAATCCCCATAAATCTTACATATATTCTAGTTGCCAGCATGAACATCGTGGAGCATATACTCGGTTGTTCCCCACTGGAGCATCAAAGTAGTGACCCCATGCTTGTTGGAGTCGTATCTTTGGCGTTGGGGTCAGTCGGAACTCTAGTATTGGACTTGATCCATTGTGTCGAATATTCAAGCCAAATTGCCATGGGATGCAACTATGAAAACATATGCGTAGCTGTCAGATTTCATAATCTCAGAAACTTAACTTCTTCAACAACTCAATGCATATTCTTAAATGGCACCATGCACTTTGATGTAGTCCCTTCTGACAGTAGTACCTAACATGAAGATGTACGTAGTTCGCTTTCGAGATCTGTCTTTGGGCTTATTTCTGTAATGAATCCCAGCAACGCATGTAATATCCATTTTCTTGAGTAGCAAATGAAGGGATAGAGTGTATATGAAAGTCATAGGGACAATATTCAGTCTGGCTCGTTTGCTCATGCTTGCTATAAGTTGGGGAGGCCAAATACATTGTGGGATGGGACGAGAAACCATCTGCTATGACGAGAACTCTTCGACAAAGACTTCCAAATGGGATGTTCTGTGTACCCACTACCCATATTGCCATTTGATCAGAACACCAGAAGAACCCCTACGTGGTGAATATCATTGTTCTCCCGAACTTCTATTGATGATGCATTTTACAGAGCTGTACCTCAACACCCATCTTCTGTCATTTCATGACCTTTTACATCTGCGAGACACGTCAACAAGCTCTAAATCCCCGAGGGCTGAGAACGAGGCCTTCTCCAACAAGGCTGGTGGAACAAATACTGAGGACACGGGACCTTCCAGCTATGATATAGCCGTGGTGTCTCCACGGCCACGGGTCACTTGCACACTGCCACTCAGCACCATCTCCGCTGTCACCTTACAACCCGAGTTGCCTCCGAGGGTACCATACCTCGGTGGGGATATGATCTGATAAAAATTTGCAGGTGGCTTGAATGAAACAATAAATCAACATGATTTGATTTCCTGCGCTTATCCAGGTATGTGGAACCAAGAGTGTGGCACTCAAGGTTTGGATACTCGGCTCAGTTCTAATACTTGGGCTTTGCTTGGTGGGCTTTGGGTGTAATTCAAGGTCAGGTATCTAAGCCTCATGTGATGTTTTCCAAGTCCATGATACCATGATTGCACCGAGACCAAGACCAAGACTTTCTGTCATGGAATGAGCAGGTGGGCTTTATGCTCAAGATGGCCTACCTGGGACATGATAGAATACATATAGAAAGGCCAGAAGCAAGACTTTTATAATGTTGAATTATTTTATCTTGATAGAAGTGAATATCTTGATAGAGCTTCATATCATTCAAACTCGCTGATCAAAACCAAACATTTTCATATGCTGTAACTGTAGGGAAGGGGAGAAACTAGCAAGAATAGAGAAGAAAAACATTCTTCTTCCTCTCTTCTTCTCTCTTCGTGTCTCATCTAACCATAAACACCACCATCACCCTCCATTATTATCAAAATGGAAGGTCCCGCTTCCCCCGGGGAAACACCTCAAAATAAAAAGCGAAACCCGAGTTTCCGGCAAATGCTAAGGAACCAGGGGCTTGAGATCGTAAGTCTCATGTCTTCTCTGGTCTCAACTTGCCGAGTCTCCTGGTTGTCTCCAGTTGTTGGGATGTCTTCTATCTTCACTTACTTGTCCCATGCTCGCTACGTATAACTTGACCTGAACTGACATTTTGGTTGATATAGGACCCAGTTGTACAAGGAGTGCGAGATCCTAAGCTTCCCCCCAAACGGAAGCGTAACCAAAAGCACCCTGGCAAGAAGATAGCAAAGAAAATGAGTATGTACCATGATATGGCTTGATAATAAATGGATGCTAATCGTCTAAAAGAGATGGCTGCTGCCGCTGCTGCTGCTGCCACTACCACCAATGAGGCCAGCGGGCCCATTGTCTCTGCTGGATCCTCGGTCCATGGAGCTGGTAGTTCGGGTGCTAGCTCGCCTGTTGCTGCCCCCTCACCCTCGCGCTTGTCCGCCCCTTCCCCCTCGCCCTCGCATGAAGTTTCGCTTGACGTCTCGTCTTCCCATATCACCGTGTCTTCCCCTGCGGTTGTGCTATCCCCCGCTAGTGTGCCCGCTGAGACCCCCCCAGCTAGCAGCAGAGGAGACCGATGCTGATACTGTGGTCTGGGACCGGGTGGACCCTCTGGGCCTGTTTGATGAGCTTGAGGGGCCGTTGGACTGGCTATCCGAAGGGCTGTTTGACTGAGAGATGAATTCCCTGTTGGTCCATGCGTCTTTTATGAATTCAATTTGAATATCTTCCTTTCCCATTTTCATTGATTTGGTTATTCGGGTTTCTCCGTACCACAAAGTGTAATCCGCACGTCCGCTGGTTTTGTACTGCCTCGTATCGTATAGGATCGGGCGAGAGGTCATGTAGGTTTCATGTTCTAGGTTCAAGGGCCATTGCCTATGGTCGCTAGACGCAGAGACCTGATCCAGCACTGAGTATAGTAGAATGTCAATGACGCATCGTGCTGCTGTTTCTTTTTGAGTGCCGCGCTGGCTGCCTCTTTGAACTATTCCTAACATTTCGACCATTAGATGTCAGTATGTGGTCACTGAGTTATTGCATCCATGTGACCAGGCAGAACTGAGCAAAATCAGCGCAATATGTGGGAAAGGGTAGGTTATTGGGATATAGCCTAGCCGAAAAGTAATTCCAAGGAAGAAACTTACGAGCACATTGTGGGAGAGGGGCTCCTGGAGGGGGATGCATCCACGGGGCCTGGTCTGTTGGGTTTGGCGTTAGGCGAAAAGCGACTTTTACTTCCTTTCGGGTCATTTTCCCAATGGGGACCTTTGGGAGAGGGAGTGATATCTGCCCATGTTGTTGTTCGGTTTTGGCTAGAAGTGCCCAGAACTCATTTTTTTGTCCTAGTCTCAGACATGCTTTGGCATCCCGGTATACCTGTTTCAACAGGAGGGAAGGATCCTTAAGTAAGTCTGAAGACGGGGATATGGGGGTCGGAAATTCTGATGTTGGCGAGGAATCCAAAGAGGAACTCGAAGATCCTGGAGACAAATGTGTACCTATCGGATACGACGATATAGGCGCCGAAGACATGGATTTCTGCGAAGAACATGAGGCTTTTCGAGGCATGATTGTCGGTTAAAATGGTTGTTGTGGGTTGGAAGACGAAGGGGAGGGAAACGAAAGAGGAAACAGATGGATGAGGGTGACTGCCACCGCGACCCAAAACATTACCTCACCTCATCGACACTCTGGCCGCCTTCCTTTTTGTTCACGGTTGGCAAAGAAGGCTTCGGGAAAACCTTAGCATTACCTCAGGTCTTGGTATTTAAAAAGCTTCGTACGCAATGTACCCCTTTAGCTAACAGTACTTTTCGCGTGCTATATACATGTATCCGCCTCCTTTAGACAACTTCCTTTCATTAGGAGTGGGAGTTGGTTCATAAAAAAGAATACTACTACCTTCTTTCTCCTCCAATATCATTTAGCTCGCCTAACCATGAGGTATAAAGAGAAATATGTACTTTGTAGCATTAGAGATGGGGATAAACGTACGATGTACAACATATCGGCACTTTGCTTTGAGAGCGCCGATCTCAGTCCGCCACCGAATGCGATAAATTAGCTTGAGGATAGAGAAAAGTAGAGAAACAGAAAGGACACAGAAGAGCAAAGCAAAAGCGAAGCAGAACAAAGTGCAAGCCAAGCGAAACGGAAATATTAAAAAGAAAAATTATCATGCTTCCTTGAGAGAGGGGTCTTCAGGAGGCAAATTCTCCCCAGAGGCTGAGGCAGTGGGAATGGCTTTTCGGGGGAGTAAATCAGGGCCGAGCGTTACACCCACAAAGTCCAAATGTACAACGCTGGTCCATAGAACCCACCCTTCCCATGACATCTGTAGGATAAAGAAAACAGAGGCATCGGTTTCGAATGCATTGCAAATCTCAACTTTCATGTTCGGCGGGAGTGAGCGAACGGCTTTTGAAAAGCTATCCACAGCGTCTCGTTGTCCCTCAAGCGTCAGCTTCACCAGCACGTGCTTTTGGCTCACTCCAGATAATGGCCGAGGGAGGCGGGATCGACTAGTATCACTGAATGCAAGGCTGATTGCTCTGGTGCCGCTAAACGTTTCAAACACGGCGTGGGGGGCATGCTTAGGCTTCTCGACTTGTACTTGCTGGTACCACTCAGCCGTTGTGAAATTCTGTTGGTTCTTAAACTTTTGCACGGCGCGGAACAGTCTTTGGGTAAACGAAGCGGTATTTGAGCGTACGGACGCAATCTCATGAACTCCACATGCCGCAATGATGTGAATGTTCGTTGTCGAGTTGGGCTGCCGTGCTGCAGCAGCCGCGTGGCAGCAATCGAGTATTACCAGAGAATCCACTGACTGTGCAGATTCCAGAGTACCTCTGATAGACCGCCACAGAATTCTTTTATGACGTGACGTAAAGCACAGAGCATTATCATGAAGGCCACCATGACCAACATAAAAGAAAATGAACAGAGAGGGTAGTGACGACCGGATACATTGTCCAAGGAGTTTGTTGAGATTCTCTTGCAGGCTCCAGGCTGGTGTTTTGTCCGAATTCGGGATCACAAATCTGTTACATTGGACCCCAAGCGGTTTCAGAATTGATTCCATTGTCACCATATCATTCTCTGCGCCAGTTTCATCGTTTTCCCACCGGATCAATATGCCAATCTTTCGCACATGAAGCTTGCTCCGTGCGGAAGCTACTTTCTTCAGCGCTGCTTCAAGGTCAGGAAGCTTTCTGGTCGAGACTGGTTTGGTTGGGAATGAGATGGGGATAGTGCTTGGGCTTGCGGCCGTAGGTTGCTTTGCGGGTGACTTTAAGCCTGGTAACTGCGACATCTTGCTAAGAGAACAAAATGTCAGTCTGTGCATAAAGTGAGGGGACTGATCTTAGCCTCACTTCTCGGTCAGATGAGACTAGCAAGGTTGTAGAAATCAGAAGGGTGATTGTTGTTTGGCGAAAAAAAAGTAGTAGTGCAGAAATCAGAAGGTTGATCGTTGCTTGAGGAAAAAAGCAAGGAGATTGTTGTTTGGCAAGAAGAAAAGTAGTGGTACAGAGATCAGAAGGTTGATCGTTGTTTGAGGAAAAAAGAAAGGACAGTTAGGAAAGGGGAGGAGGGTGGTGTTTATATCTGTGATTTTGCTTCAATTGGGCGACGGCGACCATCCATGGATTCCGTTGGTCCTATCTATTTTTCTCTTTATTATTTCTATTGCTCTCTTGTTCATTCTATTGTCCTCTTGTTCATTCCTATTGCTAACTCATAACTCTCTCACCTTCAATCTCTCTCTACCCGCGCTTAAACTATGTAATAGCCCTGGAGGTAAGATACCGGAACTCTGGGGTAGTGATATACAAGAGCCTACAATGTATCCAATCAGTCGCCTGTACCTAAACCCTGCATAATCCTTGGCACGCTTAGTCATCGATGTCCGCATAGATTGTTGAAAAAGCGGGTTTTGTCATTTATGTTAGTTAGAGTCATCCATATCAGTGATTTTTACCATACATTGGTCGTACCACAGATTTCTGTCAGGTTCTTTAAAGGACATTATCTGCCATCAAGAAAGGCATAGTTACTCTTTACAATTCAAGGGCCCGGATCGGATGAGGTTCTATGGTTCTTACAATAAGGATTGCTAGAATAGGCATAGTAGTTTTGATTCTACTATGGTTCGTCCTACCCTGTCCTACCTCTGTTAAGTCCCTAGGTCTGAATTTCTTCTTTCTTTTCTTTCCTTTTCATAAATATCTCTGCCTTTGACTTCAGCAAAAGCTCTCACTTATCTTTTACCTTTACTAGGCCTTGACAACTCCCATGGGACTAAAAAGAATTTTGATCCCATATCCTAGTCCCATCTACTCCTATGGGACTAAAGGGATTCCGGTCCTATAACCCTGTTAGTCCCAACTCCCGTAGGACTTATAAGACTCCTATATGGTCCCATGCTAGTATAAATTTGCCAAGAATTTCCTCTTTCGGCCGCACAAATATACATAGATACGTGCTTCTATAAGGGCTCGGAAATAGACTAGATATAACGAGGATCTATACTAGTATTATTAGCGATTAATAGGATAGCGAATTCAATTATTACACTAATTTCTAACCGCGGTTAAAAAGTTAATACTATAATGTCATGTCATGCACTATATATATCGGAGCCTGGTCTATCTGAGCGTAACGCTTAGATATAGTGGTCTTTTTGGCCTAGTTTGTAACTCGCTAGTCCAGGGGCAGGTTGTAACATATAATAAGAGAACCCTAGATTTCTGACCGCGGTTAGAAATCTAGTGCCTAAGCCTAAAGCACTTATTTTATGTATATTATTATATCTTTAAAGTCAAATACCCTAAGAAATAGAGAAAAACCGTATAAAATATACACTCACAAGGACCTATCTAGTTTGCATTGTTTGCCAAACCATTAGGGCCCCAAGAACTATTGCGGTTTGAGCCTCGTTTCTGAAACTGGCCCTAAAAACCAAACCATTTGCGGTTTGGTTTAGTTTGGTTTTGTGGTTTTGCGGGTTTTGGCGCACTCTAGTATTTTCTGCAACTATATAGAGCTCGGCGAGGTTGAATAGTGGTATAGGCGCAGAATAGTAAAGCCAATAATGTGGCCCTACTGTGCATTTGCCTTCTAGGTAGAGGCGCAACAACTAGGATCGACCGCCAAATTGATGACACCAGCCTTTCGTTGAGGGGACAACGGTCAAGAGTGCCGGGTGAACGACTGCATTTGGATAGGGCTAGCGTGGTGCATTTTATTAAGGTGACCTACTGACTTAGCTGCTCTCCCACTTTGCTCAGGCTGCTCAGGTGATGCCCAGTGAACAAGTGCTTGAGCTTATATAATAATTAAGTCGTGCTCAGGGAGCAAGTCAGAGCGCTCAGGTCATGCTCAGTGAGTGGGATCAGGCTGCTCAGGTGACGCTCAGTGAGCGAGTTATCTAGCTTAATAATAATGTGATGCTCAGTGAGCGGGTCTAATGATTACATAATAGCCAGGGGCGTGCTCAGTTTTACTCAGTGAGCAAACAGCGGCATGGGGGGAGCACTAAAACGGAAAGGGAAAGCCATGTCGCGAGGCCTAAAATCCGGTGTATATGTACCTAGGTACACAAATGGCCACGTTGAATCATATAGGGCAATGAGAGTTGAGATTGGTGGTTGTCAAAACTAGAAGCTACAGAGGCTATAGAAAAGTCTAATACCAACCACAAAATGCAAAAGAAAGGTAGTGGCTGTAGAAATGGAGCTACCAGGCTGCCATAATCAGTGCCAGTGTTGGCAGGATGCAAGCTTGTTATGTTCCGAACAAGGGACGAAGGTTCTCGTGTTCAGGAAAGATGTAACGCCGACATGAAAGGCGCTCATTGTTAGTGGCAATATACGAGATAGAGTCCAATGGCAACAACACAACTCGAGGTGAAAGGGGAGCCGACAGGGATGCTCAACATATTGACATGATGGTGGCTATGATAATATCGGAAAGAAACCCAAGTGGTTCGAGACGAGATAGGGGTTGTGGAGGTGGTTGAACAAAGCCTGAATCAATACAGGTGAAGCCAGAGATGTAGTCACTGTACAAAGCCGAGGCTGGATCCGGTTAGATATAACCGGGAACGAGGTTGTTGAATATAAACCGGGGACTGTCTAGGTGCCAACGAGGATGTGATGGTAACAAGGCAGCTTGGGGTGTGGAGTTGTGAAAGTGTGCGTAGAAAGGGAAGACACTTGACCATATGTGCTGTGTATTTTCGTGGCCGGTTATTGATGCTAGGCACTTGTATGAATGGATGGTGGTGATGTGTGCCAGCTGCCAGGGAGAGCCTGTCTGGTTTATGGAGGCAAGGAAGATTCATAGCTTGTAAAAAGTGGCATACAGAAAGGGTCACATCGAAGTGAAGGTTGCAATGAAAGTTGAGATAGATTGTTGACAAAGCTAGGAGCTATAGAGACTATGGAAGAGATCTCAAAATGCATTTTGTTTGAGAGGATGAGTTGTTGGTCAATAATGATGGGGATAGCCTAGATACTCCAGCGTATTATAGTTTCTACATAGTAGGTCATGGTTATATTTTCTACGACTTCATCAAAGGTAGAAGTTCAACAAAATACCGCTGCCCCTGCCCCAGATACTACAATAGTTGGTTAGGGCAAATCCGTCACGTGATGGGAATTGAATGACAGGGTGTTGGTTAACTATCAAAGTCAGTGTAGTAGTAACCGCAGAAACCCGTGGCCTAGTTGGTAGGTTGAACATGAGCCATACCTGCTCTAGACTACCCTCTAGGTCACACACCATGGGTTCGAACCCCTAGGACCGCAAGTCGCTGTCGAGAATTTCGCACTCTCTAGGCTGGGTTTGTTCACATTTTTTTCCCCTTTTCTCTTCGGCCTAATCATTTTTGCTCCATCTGGTACTCCTGGCGCATGGAAGAATAGTGTCGTAGCCATTTTGTTGAATAATAATCCTGTATGACGCTCTGTCTACTAGGAGCCAGAGGCGTATACAGCAACCATATAGACCTGTCTACTACCTTCTGCAAATCAATATTCTCTTCTGTCTGATTTGTACACATATATATACCTCTTAATCAGAGATCTCTCGCTCTGGATATCTCTCACTTCAGATATCCCTACTCCAGATATCTCTCTGACTCTAGTAAGTAGTAAGTGATGATCTGAGCAATCCATGTATTATACGCTTATATATTACCTCTGATTCTACCATTACAACGGTTTTTTGACTTGTATTTGGGAACCCGTGGACTCTGTGGGTCTATTTGACGAGTTAGAGGGAGCTTTAAATTCAAGATCTACTATCCTTGGTCTAATAGAGGTTTTAAACTATGTTCACTGTAGAAAAGTCCAAGGGGAATGATCAACTGATTTGATAGCACCAACTACCACGCTTCATTAGATTAGAATTTAAAACGGTTCAATTGAAATCACTTGGGCAAAGTACGCGTGTCTACAAGTACTCATAGGTCTTTTGGACTGTAGATAATATCTTGTAAGGTTTAACTCGAATCAAAGATCAAACAGCACAGGGGGAGTTCATATTCAAATCGCCATAGCTCCACTACTCAAACAGACTTTTCCCCCAAAAGGGGAGAGCCATACCCGTCGAACCCAAACTAACCTCGATCTCAGCGGTAGTGGTGGCAGGGATAAGGGCGGCGGTTGTGGCTGCCGGGGGGCTCTGGTTGGTCTCGGCAGCCGCCTCAGCAGTTTCTATTAGCTGTTAGTATAGATTCATATGAACGCTGTCTCAATACATACTTTTGGCCTTTTGGCCCTTCTACGGACTGGTCTCCGGCACGACCGCTTGGCCTTTGGAGGGAGAGTGGGATCGCGCAAATGGGGAGATGGGGGAGGCTATTATATAGCCGAATATTGTTAGTCCAGGCCCCAAGACAACTGCAACGCGAGTTGAAATGGTCTCCTTACGACTTCGACACCAGCTTCCCGGAGACGGCAGCGCTCTTGGCGCTTGTCCTTGTATTCCTGTGTCTTCCGCCGGTCATAGTGTACTTGGGAGTGGGACTTCTTTTTCTTGGGGACGGGCTCCTCAGCACCAGTCTCGGTGGTCCTGGCTTCGTCGGAAATAACGGTATCTCCAATAACAACGTTGAGTTCCTTGTCGTTTTCCATGGTGTTTGCGTCCATTTTTGAAGTTTAATTCGATAAAACAATAAAGGTGGGGATGAAGGTGGGATGAAACTGAGAGGGAAAGGAGAGGGAGGTGAGAAAAGAGATGAGGACCTGTTTAATGAGAAGTGCAAACAATCCGTCTCGCCCAACTTCCTGGTGTCTACATTTGCTATCCAGTCACACTCACACTTGAAAATCAACAATACGCTCACCTCTAATAAACAGTCTGCCTCTTGTCACATCTCCGGCTGCTGCATCTTCGCCTTGTCGGTACCGGGCTTCATAGGAATGCGAAGCAGTTGTTCTTCATTGGTTGCCGCACGGAAACTTCCCGGAAAAGACATCGCCGAATTCTTGCAAAGGTTTTATAGCGGAGTTTGACTGTAAAGGTGGTTTCTACGTCGACAGATGGTCGATCGGCCATCCAGTGATTCTGTGGGCCTTTAGCCTCCATTTTTTTACCCGTCTATGACAATTACTCTGTTAACAGGGTCCGTTTTCAGACCATTATTATGGTTGTTTGACCACAAACCGGGACGCTGCCAACTGAAGCACGCGGAGCTTCATTTCGGTGAAATTATCATCGGCCAATCACTGTTGAATACCCCCAGACGTCCGAACACCGCATTGCAAGTCGACTATGAGGGATCCGACGGATCCGACTGGGCAAACTACATTCACATTCCGACGTTGACCAGCCCAACAAGCACATCATGGCACTGAAACGTCCTCCGGACATCAAAAGCTTTCATCCCGCCACAGGACCCCAAGCAATGCAACTTGCCAATCGCCCCAAGGACATCGACGAGGCAGCCTGAGACCAGTTGAAAACAAAGCCGCGCGCCAAGGCGACAACCATTGAGTTCATCAACGAAGATCACACCTGCAAGGTGCCAACAAGCCTAGCTGCTCATCCAAAAAAAACCAAATGCGTGTCCCCGGTCGTCCTAGATACAGACCAAGATCAACACCATACACAAAAAAATGATCAACCAAAAGCACTTGGGTAAAACACGTATGCCTACGAGTAACCATAGCCATTTTAGACTGTAGATAATAACTTGCAGGGTTTGACAAGAACCAAAGATCAAGGATCATAGAGAGAGTTCGTATTCAGATACGTGATGGCTCCGCCGCTACTCAAACGGATGTTTTACCCGAAAGGGGAGATTCATATCGGCCGAACCCAAACCAACCTCGACCTCAGCTTCCTTCATTTCCTCGCCTTTATCACTGGACAAAAGACCCACCTCAAGACTTTCAGGGTAGTGGTGGTGGGGGTAAGGGGGGACGGTTGTGGTTGCTGGGAACTCTTGGTTGGGCTCAGTAGCTGCCTTGGTGGCTTCAGCTGCAGCTTCTATGAACTGTTAATAGGAATTCGGTATCAAAGTTTGTAATGATACATACATTTGACCCTTGGAGCTCTCATCCTTCTTGTGTAGCGCTGAAGCTTGGACTCTTGTGGGAAGCCACATAGGCCTGGGACTTCTTCTTCTTCCCCTGGACCTGGGCCTCGGTGGTCTTGACTTCATCGGTCATGGTAGTATCTTCAAAGGCCTTGTCAATCTCTGCGCTGCTTTGCGGTGTTTTCGACCATTGTAGATGTAAGATTTGATGAAAAATAATGGTAGGGATGAAACAGAAGAGAGCAAGGTGAGAAGGAGAGGATAGTTCAGCCTTCAACTTTGGAAGGAACTATCGAGACATGTAAATAGCCTATCTACATAACGTATATAGTCACACTCACACCAGGATATCAAAAACACACCACAATATATAGAGAAATACAAATACGATCAAATATTTCGTACGGATGTACAGCTTATATATATATATTATCTGATTATTTTTGCAAAATTCCCTTTATCTGAGTAGGGATGAGAGACCTAGAAAATTGTCGGGCAAGCAATCAACGTAAGATCGAGTATTTATCTGATCAATACTACTATACTATAGGGACGTATGTAGATGCAATTCGCAGCCCCGGGATGCAGATCAACTTAGGGCACAGGTATCCACATGAAGATCGACATGCATTTAAGAACCAGGGTCTTCATAGTCTTGCAGGGATATGAACGAGAGGAAAAAATACGAATAAATTGATTGAACTAAATTTGAAACACTAAACCCTTATTTTGTCACAAAAACAAAAACCAACAAAAAAAGAAAAATACCCCTATCCGTTACGAAGAAAGTGTGGCCGCACAGTGGTTACCGATCACGTGCAACTTCGCCTCAACCTCAACCAGTGGTTGACAATCAATTTTTTTCCCGAGGGGCGAATAATCCCCTGCGCTATATCAATCGAAGACCATACACTGTACGCACCCGTGTACCCTACCTCCAAGTGTAGGTGGTCAATTCCCGACACGGATTCCCATATTACAACCCTCAAAAGGCCGTCAACCACAAACCACATTTCAATTAAAGGGAACGCAGATCAACAACTTTATACTCTTATACTTGATATTCTCCCGAAAGCCATAGCGAGTACAACAAGAACAGAGGGAAAAAAAAATGTTCGAAGACTTCTCCTTCACTTCGCCGTCGTCACGACCAGCCCGTCTCGCCCTCGACCCAGACGACCGTCTAATGGTCGACAGCGACAGCAACCTAATCTCGCCACTCTCCTCACGCTGTCCATCACCACAATCCCATCGCTTCCGCAACATCTCCCGCTCACGCTCCTCCCACTACCACCGCAACCAACAGCCCCCAACATCCGTCCCCTTCCCCTATGACTCAGACCACAAACGACTATCAATCTCAACCCTAACTCAAAAACTACACGAACACACCCTCGCCACCCCTCCTTCGGGGGATATCCAACCCCGAAATGGGAGACACACGAACACACCCGGCTCACGCCGGTACCCGGGAACAGGCTACGTCCTCACGCCCCCAGACACAGACCACTCGGACGACTCCGGCGTCGGCGAATGTCTCTCCTCACCATCGGCCTCCTCAACAACAAGCCCAACCTTCATGCCCCCAGACCTCATCTCCGACCTCCCAGATTTCGGCCTCGGACACCCCCTCTACCCCCAACCACATCCCTACCACCAAGACGTCCGCATGCAGCGCGAGCAGATCTCAAGACTCCAATGCAACGAGTCCGAAGTCGCAGCTATGCAGCGCTCGCTACTAGATGAACCACCTTCTACACCGGACTTCTGCGACGAAGACGATTGCCATCCCAGTTCGTTGCCGCCGCGGTCTTCGCCGCGGAGGAGGGCGGTTACGCTTTCGCGCAGTCGGTTTGGGCCTGAAGGCGGTGCGGAGGGGAGGGCTCGGAGGAAGAGTTCTTCGGCGGGGGTTTTGGCGAGTCGGATTGAGAAGAGTCATTATGGTGGGTTTGGGAAGAGGAATGAGCAGGGGCTTCGGAGGAAGAGTCTTGTTAGTGCGGCTTTGGCTTCGATGGTTGAGAGGGAGGATGAGAGGGATGATCGTTGAGGTTGTTTGATTATGGTTATGGTTATGGTTATGGTTACAGTTGGTGATTGGTTCCATTGGATGGAGTTTGTATATTTGATACCCGCATAAAGAAAGACACATTCCGTCGAGATGATCGGCAGCTAGCATTATTTGACACATTCCTTGGTTGTAGTATAGTAGTATATTCCTACATAGTTTTACAATGATTGATTGATTGTTCATTGCTTTCTGTGGATTGTTGTATCTACATTACCAATTTATAAAGGATGCCCCTGATCCTACAGAGAAAACTCTGCAAAGTTTATTTTATACACCTAAGAAGAGATCTAAAAAAGACTATTCCAAACGGAATCAGAGTATCAAAGTCTTATAATAGAGGCTATATAAGTTAAGGACTATAATCAATGAATTCAAAAAGTTGAAAATAACCCGAATGGCGATATGCGTCAAATGTAAATTGATAGTAGATACAAAGCGAGTCTCAGACCCAGAAAGAAGTAGTAATAAAAGTAATAAAAAAAAGACAAGAGAAAAGTCCCCCAAAAGAAAAAGAAAAAAAAAGAAAAGAATTAAGACCCGTATCCAGCCAGTCCATTCAATCCAACACCCAGGCGCCACGCTCTTCACAATAATGTATGTAAATCATAACCGAATTCTCGGTCCAAAACGTCACAACACACAACCGGCTGCCAGCAGTATCAGGACCGACAAAGTTCTCAGAACTGTCTAATTCCCCAACTTCCAACTAAAGAACTTCCTCAACCCCTTCCTCTGCGCCTTCCTCTCATCACTCTTCCTCCTCTGGAACTCGAATCGGGGACTAGTCTCACCAGATCGCCGCCCTTGTCTCTGCAGCTCATCCAGTGCGCGTGCAGGACTGCCCCGTAAGCCCATCGTCTCTGCGTTCGCGGCTGCGAGGACGGACTGGACGTGTGGGTCGAAGTACACCGGGTCGTAGGTGTATGGATCGAAGGGGGCGGGGTAGTGTGGGAGCTTGGAGGTGGAGACGGAGCTTGGGTAGGGGTAGGCGGAGTCGAAAGTGGAATACATTGGGGAGTGCATGGGTGAGCCACTTGGTGTCTCGAGGGGGGTTTCGCGGGGTGTGGGTGGTTCTTCGTGTTGGGAGTAAGGGTAGCCGGGGTGCTGGTGGTCGGATGTGGTTTCATCTTCCTGTAGGTCGTCCTCGGGTAGGTCGAACAGGATGCCTCTGTCGCGCCCGTCGACTTGGGCCCAGTCGCCGTTGGCGTAGACGGGTGAGCCCGGCTCGCCGATCTCACTTTCTGAGTAGAAGGTTTGGGTTGATGGGGTGGAGGGGCGGCGGGAGAAGTCTAGGTTTGGGAGGCTGGATTCTTCTGCGATGGAGGCCATGCGTGGTGATTGTGGGACCTCTCTGTCGTTGTTTGCGTGGTCGTAGGTTTCGATGCGTAGAGCGTTATTTTCATTGCGCTGTGCAGGTCGACTCCAGTAGTTGAAGCCCTGATCATTGACGGAGCAGTCTGATAGAGACCGGATGCGTTCGCCGATGCCTGGCGAGGACGATGGGATGTCCGTCTGACCTTTGGGTGTTTGGGGTTCGGCTGGAAGGGAGTTGTACAATGAGTTGGTGGAGTAGAATGATGGCAATGATGCATCGGTAAATTGGGACAGGGACACCCGGTCCAGTCCTTGCTCGATGGAGAAAGTAGAGTCTCGCTGATTGTCCGTGGAGACCAGGGAGCAATTATCGACATCTTCAATGTATGAGACGATGCGTGCTAGATCCAGCGACTTGCGCGGATTCAGGATCTCAAAGCAGGCGCCACCGTGTGAGACGGTGGCAACGGCCTGCGTACTGGCCAGCATTGAGTCCGAGGGTTGAGGTTTGGCGGCCTCAGCTTCTTCTGCTTGAGCTTGGGCCCTTTGTTGAAGCTTTTCACGAAAAGTATTCTTGGACTATTATCAGTGAGCTGGGTCTTTGTTGTGGTGTTTCAGTCAACTTACCACTCGCTTCCTATTAGGTCTAGCACGAGTCCCTAGATCTGAGACAACGGGCAGTCGAGGGCTTTGAGTGGCTTGATAATGAACTATTGAACTGTCAATCAAGGGTCCGGGAGGTTCGAGCGAATAAAAGTCAATTGGAGAAACATACCAGTCTGGGCTTCCCCGATCTCCGGTTCTTCACTCCAGTGAGAGATGATGCTGTGGGAGTATGAAGGAGAGAGTGGCGGAGGGCTCGATGCCACAGAGGAGATAGATACAGGATAAGAAATGGTAAGAGGGGATGGGCGGTTCAAATGCAATGCAGCTGTTTTTCGCTTCAATTTCCTTCCTGCATGATCGACGGGATCGGTAATGCGGTCTGCAGATTTGGAGAGGAACTTGTGGTAATCGTGGAGAGACAGGGCTCCCGTGATACGGGATTTGATGGATCGAGGGGGGAGGGACAAAGCGTCTGCCGAGTCTTCCAAAAGGGGTTTGGGTTTGGAAAGCGTAGGACATGCATGATGGTCATGGAGTTGAAGGCAGTTGTGGCAGATGGGGCTGTCCAGCAGCTCACCGTGCCATATGCCATTGGCAGCGGAGTAGTTGAGGTTTTCGTTCATTTTGCAATTGCGAATATCACAGATTTTGTTTTTGTGTTGGAAGTCCTGCTCCTTGTTCTCTTCAATTGTTCTCTTGTTCTCGGGCCACTTTTTAGATTATCGACATATCTAAAGGCAGTACGGAGTAGATCTAAACCCACTTCTCCACACTAAATTTGATTCGTCAGATTTACGCCGCAAGGGATGAGAGAGATAGGCTTACCGGTCGCAAGATATCAACAGATCACAATAAACAAAACTGCAAGGTACAGAAGTGCAGGAAGAGTAATTTTATGTTTGAAATGAGAAAATGGGAAAACCGGAAGGGAATGTGCCTGGGATCGAATATCCACCTTACCCACGCTATCCATTTCTCCACTGAAATAACAATGAGTATATCTTAGCCAGCCGAGTCCCAGTTCCAGTCTCAAGTCAGGGGAAATCCGGCTAGACCGATCCAATTAGGGTAGGCATAAGAGAAGAGAAGTTGATGGGGAAAGTCGAGACCCTCAGTTCTCAGGACCCATGGTTCGTCGATCAACTCAACGTCATTGAAAAGTCGGTCTGCTCAGGGATTTATATGGACTGGGGACTTATACGTAGAATACATGGAATACATGGAATACATAGAATACATAGAACACAATAGAATATAGGACGATAGCCCAAAATCACTTGCAGATGATCTCAGCCTCGATCTCCAATTTAGTCCTCTTAGTCCTTTTAGTCCTTTTAGTCCCTGTAAGAGTCCACCCTCCCGTCTCCATCTCCAACCAATCATCCACCCCAAATCCCTAATCTTCACCCAACCTCTTTAAGCCCAGAACCAGTCAGCATGCAGAACAAACACCTGTCTTACTTCGGGCTGAGCAAGGCAAAAAAGTGACCACTCGGCTGTGGCGGGTTTACCACCCTTGATTGGATATCCGGTTTAAATCCCAATGGTGGCGATTCGAAAGAAATTTCTTCCCCCTGCTCCACTGGCAACATCATGACTCGGTCATCCGTATCTGACTTCCAAGGTGAAAGTGGATACATTGTAAATATGTACATATACTTCCGTACCTTGGGTATGTATGGAGTACATTCGTATGCAGTGATGCACCGTTGATGCAAGGAACTCGGGGGGTTTTTCTCATTGGGTCATGTGATCCCGGCGCAATGGCTGTTTCATGATTCAAGCATCGGTCATTCTTCGGCCGTGAGAGCTGTGTGAAGTATACGGAGAATGCCGTGATGGTTGAACTGGATCTCTTTGATCCATGGGTACCCAATCTCTTGTACTTGGAAGAATCAAGGCACACATGCAGATACACTTGTGACGATCGGCATGCCAGCTCATCTCGAGTTAATCGGCCCAAGTCATCTGCCCTGCAATACGACTGCAACCCCCAGATTTGTGTTTCACATGATGTCCTATGCACAATGCAATTTAAACGGGTTGCTGCCTCGCTGCCCCAGGCTACCCAGGTGATCATCGGAACTTACTTGAGTCTTTTTGTTTTTTGTTTTTTTTTTTTTTCTTTTCCCTAAGGTGGGCTACTGATAGTAGGTGCAGAGTCTTCCAAATGGGTGGCAACTGCCTGAAGGAGTATACTCGGGTGCAACCGCATTGTCCGAATAGGAACTACGATCGACATGACTTTCTCCTGGTACTTGGTGGAACCATACAAATCGATCTCGTAGATAAAGATCCCGATCTTCAAATCTTTATTCAACGCTTTATTCAACAAACTCAGTACTCCCTAGGTCATGCAGACTGAAGTTTAAAAAAGGGACTTGAAAAGTGATAAAGGAAAACAAGAGCAATTTAATATCGTAATGCAGTCGTGATGTGGTATCGAACTGATGAAGTAATGAGGGAAAAAAAAGTGACAATGAACGTAGGAGCGCAAACAATAATATAAAATAAAAAAAGGGACCATTGCCTATGCACGTATGTACGAAGTATGCGAGGGCCACACCCGTAGACCAGCCCACCACACTTTCAGTACCGTTTATACTTCTAAAACTGTCGTCAGCCACACTCGAAAACACGAAAACAGGGTTCGTCGGAAACCACTTACATCTTCCATCTTGCGCCGATTGCTCGGGTCAAGGGTATTCCCCGCACCAAGCAGAGTCTGTCCCACGGCCTTGGATACTCCGATAGCGGGCCGGAGGATGACCGTGGGGGCACGCTTCCAGACTGCCTTTGCGGCCGCCTTGGCGCTCCCACTCTCCACTACCTCCCCGGGTACGGCGACTATTGCATCACGAGCTAGGAGTAGATCGCGTTCGAGACCGCTGAACGCCCCACGCAGTCCCTGAACCACCCCAACCGGCTGATCAGCGTACAGTGAGATCTTCTTCGCTTCGTCTTCGTCGAGGGAATCGTCGTCGTATGCTGGTGCACTGGGGGTGGTCAGCATATCCTCCGCGCCTTGGAGGACGGTTTGTGTGCCGATGGCAAGTTTTGCGCCCAGTTTGACCAGCTCGTTGGAGGTTGTCTTAGCGAAGGCTAGAGCGCCTTTTTGGATGCTGCGCACGATTCGGCCGTCCTTTCGGTATTCGCGCATTGGGACGACGACTAGGTCGCGTACGCCGCCGCCGACGTTGACTAGAGAGCGGATCGGTGCGAGACCAGCAAGCACACCGGGCAGTTGGTTCTGCTTGACATCTGGCATCCAGATGTCGTTGAGAGTTTGGCCCATTCGGTCGAACCCAGACACTCCGTAGATGATTACATGTCGTAGCACCATGTCGGCGCCATCTAGCACGAAGAAGTTCATGAACTCGGTTGTACGGCCGGATCGGAGTCCTGCATAGTCGACCCGCTTAGGCTTGAAGTCTAATTTGACTTGCACGGCGTTTATCTCTACTCGCTGCAAGAATGGAACGTCACCCGGGGTATCAGATAGTTCGGCGGTCTCATCTCTAAACTCGAAGAATCGACTCATGAAGTCGAGAGCATCTTGGTCGACATGCAACCGGAGTGGTAGAACAGTGGCCTAGAAATCAAGTTAGAAACAGGTCTGGGAAACTGATGACTGGGAAACCTACCTTGAGGACAATCTCAGACGCAGCCAGCTCAGGCACAGGCTTTACAATCAGAACTTCAAGGTGAACCATGCTCGTTCCACTCTCCTTTTCACCAGCCTCACGCATATACGTTGCGAACTTCTTCCACGTAGATGTCGGAACATGATCGTAGATTTCTAGATCCTTGACCCGCACATCTAACGAGCTCTGCGTCTCTTCTGAACCCGGTGGGAAGATAATCAGATCGGCCGAGACACCCTTCAACTCGAACGTCATTTTGTGGTGTTTGCTTCGATGTAAACGCAATTTCTTCTCTCTCTTCGAGGTTGATCGGCCCTGGCGACTTCCAGCCCCAGTCACGGTAGTGGTTGTTGCGTAGCTCCCGGTCTCACTGGTGAAATCGTCTATGTCCTGATTGATCTCGCGGTGGAGTTCCCGTGGATCCTTGTTGGCTGGGATACCGATGTAAATGGAGTTGAATAGGAAATCGCCAATGACAGACTCTTCTTCATCCTCTGCTGAAGGTGACATCCGTGAGCCCCGGGTGCGGCGTTCTGTGGCCTTGGTTTCCACATCCTTGACAGCTTTGGATATTGTGTCACGGGTGCGTTGCCAGTCATATCCATCAAAGAGATTCCAGATGAAATGTACGTCTCGAACACGCACACGTAAAGGACTCCGCTCGAGCTTCGTGTCGTTGGTGAAGCCGTAGGTGTTCTGGGTGGAGTCCCACCGATGAGCAGTTCCACCCACAGCTGATTTATTTGCAAAATGGTCCTCCTGGAAGTCCAATTCCGTCATGCTGGAAGATACTTGATATTGGGAATGGAAGCTGTCCAGCAGGTCATTGGAACCCGCTTCCATGCCTTCGATGCCCACACCACCAAGACCGCCCTTAGTGGGATAGAAATCGCTGACGTATTCAAGTTCGTCAAGTAGCTGATCTTCCCTAGACGGTCCTTCGGAGATAGTTGCCAGATCATCACCAATGGAAAGAGGGGGCTCAGCTGCAAATGCGTCCCCGGTGAACGAGGAGAACATATCTTGGATGGGCATAACCTCGGTTCGATATTTGATATTGACATTTGGTGGAGTTGGAGGCTGAAGCCCGTTCATGATACTGATGAGCGTCTGAGTAGAATCCGCGCAGGTTTCGAGGATCAACAGATCATCTCTCAGCTCAACGTCCAAAGACTTCGTCCCATCCTCGGCGCTGGTAAGTTTGACACCGGCAGTTGCCGATGAGATGGAAGAAACAGGAACATAGCCTTTATCGATATACGCTTGGGCCTGGGTGTCTTGAGGAACGACAGAGCCCCGTTGGTGCAGGTTATCAGCACCCTCATGGTACACATCGTCAATGATCATGAGCGAGGCTTTTCTAATATCCAACGATGCTTCTGCAGATTCCTCTCCATGGATACTTCCTTCAAACTTGGAATTTGTGAGGACCGCAAGGCCTTTTGCTGGGGAATTGCGAGGGTTGAGACCAAGAACGCAATCTCTGAACACAACTGCCAATTTGACGGGCTTTGTCGAGGAGCTGGATTCATTCGACATCGGCCGCCCTGTCATCGAAGATGACGGGATTGAGTGCTCTGCAAGGTTTGCAATAGAGTTGACCATACTACTGGCCACATCTCCGCTCATCTTGTCACCACCCAATCCAAGGAAGGCCGTCACTGACGGTACCGTGTACTCGACAAGGAGGTTGTGCAGTTTGATCTTGTAAGTAGGATCCATCTCATCGGGTATGAAACGAGCCATGAGGACCGGCGGATAGGACTGGTTTGGATCCCGATATTTGTTCGGCGGCCACAGGGCATGCCCCACCAGCTCTTCGTTGTTATTCCGACTGACGGCCATAGTTCCAATATGGGCTGCAGTGAGCGAAGGCATAGTGATGTTTGCAACTTCGACATTGGTAAGTTGACTTTCGATGTCCCCAACTTCTCCACCAACGTGGACGCGACCTTGAAAGTCACGGACCAGCATCAAAGTAAGAATACCAGGACGATCATCTTCTGGCAAATACTTGGTGACATTGGAAAGCCGACTCAACTCGACAGCGAGGGACGAGAGAGGCTCTAACCCACTGGTATCTGAAATGACAGTTTCCAAGCGCCCGACTGTCACACGAAGAACAGATCCTTGTCGTCGCTGGCGCAACAGCGTGTCTAGCATGATATCATCTTCCACTTCAAATTTGTCCTGGGACGGGGTGATCAACGTCAAAAGACGATCGAGATCAACCTCCTTTGGAGCAAAAAGGAATTCAAGGCGGATGTTGTTCAGGGTGATTTTGGCGGGAGTATCAGATGAAGCGTCGTCAATTGAAAGTGGTCCAATTATTTTGGCCTTGTCTATTTGTATACCAATCCCTTCAAACCTACTCACGATTTTGACGGCGGTCGTGGTAAGTTGAAGACAATGAGTTTCACCAGTGACATCCAAAAGGATGGCACCAACTCGGGCATTGACTTTCCATAGGGCCGACTTGCCCTTGGTCGTGTCAACAGCTGGAGTGGGTGTTTCAAAATGTACACCACGAGGGCGCTGTTTGGAAGGCGGTGGGCCGCCTTTGACTGTTGAGACGGACGACATGGAACTTCCAAGTTCGAGAATGGTGCTTAGGCCACCCATCCAGCCTAGGACCTCTTCCAGGCGCTGTACATTGAGGTTGATATGGAGAGGCAGCGTGGAGATGTCAACCTTGGCGAGGTCTGCCGACTTGACCAAAGATATAGAGACATCTCCTTGTGAGGGGGATAAAACATCACGCGTAGATTCACGCATCTTCAATCTTTCATCAAAGAATATGATATCTTCTGAAGCGAACCCGAATGCAAACTTGGACACGTGAAGATTCAACTTAGTACTTGTACTTTGAGCTGAAACGCGAGCATCCAGTCCAGATAGAGTAAGACGAAGAATCACGTCTTCCATGCTGTAGGGAGGAGACAACGGTGAGCCACCATTGTCGGACGAATATACATGCCCCGAAACACGTTCGATGAACTTTATTGAAAGTGCATGGACGACAAGCTGAACAGGTGGTGTGCGCGCGGGTTGGTCCTTTCGCGACTGCTTCTCATACAGATCTTTTTCAGCCGTATCAAGAGCTTGGGACAACTTTTGTCCTATCTTGATTAGAAGCCAACCAGTTGCAATATCGAAATGTAAGGAGACAGAGAACACTTCCACGGCAATTTCGGGTAGTTCAGTCTCAGCATTTGACTGAGACCGTGCCTCAACAAAATCTTTTCCGAACCTCGTAGATTTGTAAGCTCTAGAGGCAAGTAGACTTTCTTCCGGTGCAGAACCTCCAAAGCTAACTGTGGACTCATTCAGGTCACTGTCTGCGTTCTCCTTTTGTGACACAGGCGATAGATCGGCTGAGACTTCTTCGGAATCAGGGGGCGAGAGCCACAGCAAAATCTTGTCAACAGTCAACACCGACTTTCTCATCTCATTGATTCTGTGTAACCCAGGAGACGACGGGGATGAGGGGCTGTCCTTGTGCAATGTCTGGGATTGGGCTTGGTCGTCCAAATCATGCTGCTCAGTGATGTTGTCTTCTGATGGGATTGTGTATCTTGAATTCGCTTCATCTTGAACTTGGGTGGACTGTGCCGGCTCAATAGGTGCGGTGTTTTTAGATCGGTCATCAAAAGCACCCTGGGAGTTCGTGGCACCACCAAACGAGCCCCAGGCGCCTGGAATTTGTGGCATGAAGCTGTCACTCGCATCCCGGCTGATGGCGCTCATATAAAGACTTTGTGCTTCATCGTGGGAGAAAAGCTGGGACTCGTTCAGATCGGCATTTGGGGTTTCGTCTCGTGAGCCCGTGCTATCAGGCTCTGACCGTGGAGGAGATGTACTAGAGTGGTGGGATGATACGTTCAAATGTGATCTTTCGTTATGTTTATTTTCGTTGTAATCGTTGTAATGATGTATGGGTGGCGTGATTTCGTCAATTTCAGAGCCGATTTGGCTGTGATGTGTGTCGTAAGTTTGGGACATATGATAACTGTCAGAGGGGATTAAGGGCTCGTCAGAGTATTCGACCTGTTGGTTCTGATACACGTTTTGTCGACCACGAGACGAGTGGCTTCTCCATTCACCCCCGGTCTCTCGGTCTTCTTGGGGAGGTATTACAGGTGACTGCTCATCATCAAAATCATCGAATTGAGTGTCAATAACCGAGTCTAGGTACCCCGGGTTGTCTTGGAACGGGTCGTCTCCAAATATCTGAGAATCCTCCAGATATCCACCGCGATGACTACCTGAGTCAGAGTCGGCGTCTGAGAATCGACCGTGGGAAAATGCAGATGCCTCCAAATCGTCTGCCGTGGTGCTTGAATGGCCGAAAGCTTGCGGCGGTTCAAAAATAGTTGACTGGGTCATGGCAATGGGTTCTTCCTCGGAGCGTTCCAATGGAGAGGGTGACGGCGCTCTGCTTGACGGTTGGCTCCCTTTTGACCGCATGGTCGTTGACGGAGATGCAGGGGCCGCGAAACGAGAGTAGTTTGAGAACACCGATGGGTCCGAAACCAAACCAACATTGATATCGGCGATTGAGATGAGTCGCTTCCCTTCTCGGAAAGGAAGACCCTCCTCCGAGCCGGTAGGTTTCTCGGATACCCCGTGTACATCGATTTCCCCCACGCTCAACAAACCCGCCACAAGGTCCGGCTTATTTTCAGGTTGCCGTTTTGATGTTCCATCTTGCTTCAACTCCATATCCACTCGCACAACTGCATCTTTTATCTTGAGTTGGAGTCGATCCACAACGCCTTTCAAGAACCCGGCCACGAAGCTTGGCAGTGATAGAGTCTCACTCCCAAGACCGAGCTCGTTATCGTTATCATCATCAGACCAGGCTAGCGGGTCGTGGGGCAGGACCTGCGACTGTGACGATATCGCAGCTTGCAGCTCTTCCCTTTCCTCCTTTGGCTCGGACTCGAGGAATGACTCCGCAAGACCCGACGGTGTTGGCACCGCCAAATAGCCATCCTTTTCGCCTTTCCTTTTTGTGTGTTGTCCCCTTTTCGGCTCCTCTGACAATAACCGTACGTGCACGTCGATGCCGTTGGCCTCGCACAGGATGCCGCTGCTGTGGAAATCAGCAGGAAGAGTGATTCGAAGAAGCTGAACCCGGGCGCTGAGCAGCTCGCACGACGGAGGAAGATTAACTAGAGTCGATAATTTCTATCCCGCGATGTAAATAGTCAGTCCGCACTGCTCCATAGTCTCGCTCGATGATCACGGAAGGCCGCCCCGCCGCCCGCAGAAGGTCACTGCACCAACTCACCTCTAGTTTGAGGCCGATATCCTTCAACTCGATTGTAGACCGTTGTCCCCAGCGGATTCCTAGGTTATCTGGATCCAAGGCCTCTGTGTCGACCAGGCCCAGACGAGACAGGGCATATTTGAGGAGCCGCTTCTGGAAGAACGATGGCATGAAGTACGACGCCATCGTGACTGAGAGCCAGGACAGGGCTCGCTCATGTGCGGACTTGTATCATCGAAAATATCTTGACTAAAACAATAAAACAGCCAGCTCCGACAAGCGGAGTGGATGGGGGAGGTCGTGAAGGGGGGAATGTTCAACAATGACGTTCCGGCACCTGATAAAGCCGATAAGTGACCCGAGTCAGGCGCCGACGTGCCAACTCACCGATTGACAACAGATTTGACCAATTATCTTTTCATTGACTTGTGATATGTTCCAAGTTACTTCAATAATTACAAAATTTGGCCTACACTAGTTTGGCTATTGTAAAAAACGGATTTCGGGTTCTCATATTTGTTCCTGCTAAAGCTCCTATGTATGTGACTTGCATATTGTGATCAGCATGACCGAACTTCAATCATCCCCAGCATCGAATTCAGCGAACTCCAGCACAACCCACTCGCAGAATTTCTCGAAATCCGCGGCGAAATCCCGCAGACGTTCGGATTTCAGTCCCTTTCCCATAACCCCATTTTGAATACCAGCTTTCCACTCGGCAGTCGACTCGTCTTCATAACAGCTCCACCGGATGGAGTTTTGCGCCATCATTGATAGGCCGACCAAATCCACATTTTCAAGTCCTTGCAAAGCCTGCCAGAAATCATGAGTCAATCCATTCCTTCCGTGGCCAAGAATTGCGGGGTCGTCGTTGCACAGCGAAACGGGGACACCTCTGGACAATAATGCGGGCAAAGGATGGGATTTGATGGAGCTAGCAAGGCGGAGCACTTCGTTCGAGATCGGGCAGCATTCAACGAGGATCTTCTTCTCTTTCACTAAATCAATGAGCAGAGGATGCTTGTAAAGTGAGAACCCATGGCCGATTCGTCGAGTGCCAAGAAGGATGGCATCGAATAGGTTGTGGTCTGTCGCGTCGCCATCGCCGAGACATTCTCCAGCGTGGAAAAAGAAGGGAATATCAACGCCCTCTTCCGCACATTGCTTTCGGAACCAGAATAGTACCGGGACAAGGTCGACTAGCGGTCTTCCGTTATCCTCTTGGCCAACAACATCAAACCCACTGATCAGATCGGGGAACTTCTGCTTAGTTTCGATGCACCGCTTCATGCTATTAACAATCGCCTCATTGCCAAACCACCGGAGCGTAGTCCAAATAATGCGAGGATTGTAGAAGTTCTTCCCTTCATCCGTTTGTTTGAACTGAGCCACGACATCTTCCACCACGCGACACCACTCAAAGTAGTCTTCTTCGGGTTTGTCGTTTCCCTCTTTCCGAAATTGGAAGACAAATCCAATGCGGAACTCCACATATCGGATTCCATCCTCGGCAAGCTGTCCAAGCAAGCGGAACAAACAGGCGCGGAAGATAGGCTCGTACATCAAGAGAGAGTCGAGAATGGGGAAAGTCTTTGTGAAGATAGACCAAATTGCGTCTACTCCGTGGTGGTGATGATATGAATGCTCCGGTGCAAGGACGCATCGAGTGATCAACCATTCCCGGAAGCCCTTTTCTTTCCCGTTGGGGAAAGAGGAGGCGGCCTTCTGGATCGAGATCAACGATGAGGCCTCGTATGTTTCCGACCAAATACTTGGCTTGGCCTCAGATGCTTCTAGGGGCTGCGAGGAATACTGGAAAAACACGGGCGCCTTTTCGTAATCCTCGGCTGTGATCAACGGCCTCGGTGCCAACATGTGTATGCCGGGCGTGGAGAATGCTAGGTCAATTAGGAAGTCAATGTCGAACATGGCGTCCATGTGGGCATGCAGAAGGGACCCCTTTGGCATCTTTTCCACGATTTTCCATAGTTTAGTCGTCTCCATGCGGCCTTTGGCTATATTGAACATGACACCGGGGTAGAGGATCTCATCTGCCTGGTGGGCCATGTGCTTTTCCAATCCACTTGACCACAGCTCGTTCTGTTCCTGAGCTCGGATCTGTGACACGATCTTCGTCGCCCGGGCGGCGATAGGCGATAGAGATTTTCGCAGATTTGCATCTAGGGAACAATGTCAGATATCAGTTTGTTTTCACTTGATTTGGGTGAGAAATATACCGTGACGTCGCTTTTTCTCTTCTATAATTAAAGCCTCGCGTCCTTTGAGATATTGTTGGATAAAGGGATCCTCAACTTGGGGGATACCCTCCTCCAATTCCCATTCATTCTCTGTATTTGCCATGGTTTGAAGTGATTTAAAATCAAAAGGGTTGTAGAGTCATCGAGGCTTAAAGTGGGTCGGATTGTCGGGAGGGGAAAGAAACGCTCCCCGCCTTAAGCCGTTTTCGTCTCTTGGTCGCCTGAGATTATAATCGTCGACGTACTTTTGATTGGCGCAGGCTAGAAACAGCTTTTAGATCGATTATTATTGGAACATTGGAAATGCGGATGAGCTGATTTATCCACCCGCATTTGTATATAACCCAAGGGTAACAATAATATAGTATTCCCAAACATTCATCTTTATTTTTGCTGTCTGGTAGAGAATTCTATATTAATTTCAACACGTATCCCCGGTAAGTGTGATCCATCTTGAATGCCACTCTTGCAAAGCCACATGCTGAAAATCCGTCAAAGCCCCCTCTGGTATTTAGATTTGCTCTCCATCATTCCACTGTAACAACCCCGTATTATATATGCGCCATACATCCATAATAATAATAACACCTAGTCTCCGAAATGGTTGTATTCTTAGCAGTGTGTAGTTAGGATTTGGCCTTTGGTACACTAGGACCCAGGACTAAGATGCCACGCTCCTATGACTGAATCATTTCGAGGTGGCCTGTGATATCCATACTCCTTTCGAGATCAAAGGAGAGGAAAAGCGGCGGTGGTGTCTCCGTTGGGTACCACCAGACTCCTCATCTTTACTTTGGTATGGATAGGAATAAACTATAAACTGGACTCAAACCCAAGTCGGCTAGTGCTGCGGCAACGGTGGCAATGATTTCGGCAGTCAGGTAGTCGATGGAGTTTCATGTCTGGTATTCTTTGAGTCTTTTCATGGAATCTTCAGACCAATTCAGACGAGATCCGTAGGACTGCAGGCCAAAATACAGTCCATGCGAGACTACCATCCGTCTTAATATGTAATTTATTTGTCGAAATTTGAAGAAAGTATGTCGAGTCCATCATTTGATATCCGCTGGAAAGACGTTGCTATTGACAGACGAATATGCATGTGTTCACGAGGCGTCCCTGAACAACTCCTTGCTGGACGTGTAAGAAAATGTCAAATAGGGGCTGCATTATGTACCGGAAAATGTCTCTTCCGGTAGGCGCGCTCTGTTGATATTCAGCTATGGTGTCATTATCGTTACAAAATCAATATTGTACTGTATATGCCCCTGCGCACAAAAACCCAAAGGCTGAACAATCGCAATTTCAAAAAGAGTTCAAGGTGGATGCAACGAGAGGGCCAAGGGATGATCCTGGGATACAGCCGCCGCCTTAACTTTCGCCGTAAGACTTGGACTGAGTTTCTCATTTGCCGAGATATTGAGAAACTGTTCCCATATCTATAATTAACTCGATATCCCAGGTGGCTGAAATATGTCCCCAATTCGGCCATACTACACATGCTTCCTGGAGTATGTTGCATTGATCTAGGACATCGACCAAAAGGGTTTGATGAGTTACGCGTTCATTTCGTTTGGGAAAAGGGATAGACATCAATTCCAAGCATTATCACCAATGAATACAACATTAGCAATAAAAAGTAATATCCGAAAGCTTGGCAGATCTGATAACTTTTCAGGATTTTTCTTAGATGCGCGCTTTCCGGTTGCTGGAGAGAACATTGTTGGTCCATAATGCCAAGAATTCCATAATAAATTTCCAAGCAGCCACACGAAAGCTTGAACTGAGGTTGGAAGCGAATAGACCCGATGTCTCAATGGAGTTAACTGGATGCGGTAAAGATCTCTAAGCCACTGGCGATCAGATTAGATCTTGTCACTGGCCGACGCCGGGTCGTCTTTGGTTCTAGTGGAGTAAGGGTCCACGGGCTGAGAGAATATGTTTGGACTACATTATGTTTACACCACGCATGTTGTAACACTTTTGATATAGGAGGAAAGGATTGTCACTTTGACCCACATATGAGCATTCAAAACACAGCAAGCCAATTGTGCCGACTTCGGTGTTTTATGTGGGAATTCCGCATGTTTTATCCTATATTTTACTTGCCTTTCCCTCGTGGTTTCAAAATACTCCTGAAACCTTCCACCAGTTTGAGTTCTTGGTATTTTGTGTTTCATATCAATCGTCATGACGCTTCGTCCCTTGATGCAAAGGGCCCGGTCCGTCCTTCATCGAATGAAAGTCGACAGAGACGAGGCTGCAAGTTCTTCGGTCGACGTGGACAGAAGCACAGTAGAGGCAGAGAAGTCAGATGGACCAGTCACCCATCCCGAAGAGGCACTTCCAAACAATGGTGCTGAGCTACCCGGTGTGCCCTTTGAAGAACTTCAACATGGTATCCAGGAAGTTGAGGCCGTGGCTCAGACCTGGTCGAAAGTGTCCTTGATCTTCGTTTTCATCAAGTAAGTCGATTTATACCATCTTGTGTACTATAGCTAACCTTATAATTTCAATAGTATGTGGCTCCTTTACTTCACTTATGCCTGGATATCGTCAGTTGATGGCAGCTTGAGCACTTATGTCGCTAGCTCCTTCCAACAACACTCTCTATCTGGACTTCCTACCGCCATTGCAGATGCTTTTTCCGCTGCCGTCTTCCTTCCAGTGGCCAAGATGATGGACACTTGGGGTCGAGCCGAAGGGTTCCTGGTAATGTCGATTTGCGCCACTGTGGGTCTGATTCTCATGGCCTCTTGTAATAGTTTCCCTGTCTATTGCGCCGCAAATGTAAGAGACATCGGGTATATTTTTAAAAGCTATTGAGTAGGTGCTAATAGGAAATTTAGGTGTTTTACTACATCGGATTTGGAGGCATGCAATTTGCCGTGGACGTTATCACCGCCGATCTGTCGCAGTTAAAAAACCGAGCACTTGCATACGCTTTCACGTCTTCTCCATATATTATTACGGCCTTTGCTGGACCAAAGGTGGCCAATCTATTCTACGCTAATACTGGCTGGCGATGGGCCTATGGCACTTTCGCGGTCATCTTCCCTGTCGTGGCTGCTCCGTTGTTCTTCGTCCTAAAGTTCAATCTGGCAAAAGCTAAAAAAGGAAATGCCGTGGTCATCAGAGAGAAAAGCGGACGATCCTTCCTTCAAAGCGTCTGGTTTTGGACTCTCGAGTTCGATTGTGAGTATTGCCAACTGCTAATTGATTCTTCTATATAAAGCTAATACCTCGTATAGTGATCGGGGTTTTCATCTTTACAGCGGGACTTGTCCTGTTTGAGCTTCCATTTGATATCGCTAGCGAGGCTCCTAATGGCTGGGGCACAGATTATATCATTGCCATGATTGTTATCGGATTCTCGATGCTCTTCTTCTTTGCGTTCTACGAGAGGTACATCGCTCCTACGCCTTTGCTCCCCTACTCCTTCCTCACCAACCGAACCGTCGTCGGGGCATGTCTCTTAGATGCCACGTACCAGCTTTCAAACTATTGCTGGAATAACTACTTCTCGAACTTCCTTCAAGTGGTTAACGATCTCACTATTGCTGAAGCTGGGTATATTACCAACACATTCGACGTGGTTTCTGGTGTACTTTTGTTCTTTGTTGGATGGGCGATCCGAAAGACCGGTCGCTTTAAGTGGCTCCTTTACATTTCTGTCCCTCTATACATCTTTGCCCAGGGTTTGATGATCTACTTCCGTCGTCCCGGCCAGAGTATAGGTTACCAGGTCATGTGTCAAATCTTTATCTCCATTGGCGGCTCGATCTTTATCATCGTCGAACAACTAGCTATTCTCGCTGCCGTTGATCACCAGCATGTTGCTACAGCCCTTGCATTGCTCAATGTGGTCGGTACCATCGGAGATTCCGCAGGTCTTACTATCTCTACGGCAATCTGGAACAACACATACAAGAAGGCCCTCACATGGTATCTGCCGGACTTGACAAACTTGGACATGATTTATGAAGATCTCGAGACGCAGTTGAGCTACGCTCCCGGTACGCAAATGAGAGAGGCCATCCAGAAAGCATACGGCTATACACAGGTTAGGATGCTTTCTGCTGGCCTGGGTGTGATGGTTCTGGCATTCGCGTGGACTATCATGATCAAGAACATCAACCTGAAGAAGGTTGCTCAGGTCAAGGGTATGGTGTTCTAAGGGATTAACGTGGACCTCAAAATGTTCATCACTTTGTCACCCACCGTCGATTTTGTGCTTTGTTTGTCTGCACAATTTAGTTCCTCCTTCTGTTGTATTTAATCGGTTTAGAAGCACATTATGGCGCGTGCCTTGAAAATATTGTGTTTGATTCCTTGGCTTTTTGATACTCCAATTTTTATCCATACCCTTTAGATCTGTTATTTTCTTCAAATTTATTGAAGCAAATTTTGAATGCGGCTGTATTATCGCGATGGCTAGTGGTTGGTGTGGTTTCAAACCCCAATTCAACTACTATCACGGTCTTTGCTACGCAAGGTTTCTAATTTCTGATATTGAAATTCTTTTACCTGCAGATAAACGTAATAAGAATAGTCCGCCGCTTATACGGCCTTGCGATATCTTTTTGGTGATCTTTTTAGATATATTTTTAATTGTATGTAAAGACAGTAAAATGGTATACTTTACATAGAAGAATTTTCTATATATGACAGTTGATTTTAAACTCTCTTTTTCAAATTGGCGTATATTCATCTTCTATACGTGACACTCTATACCTTAATATTACAACCCATATAATAAGGAGAGGCCTAAAAATATAGGGAGTTGAGGGGTTCTTATAACTATAAAATGCAAAGCATACCCTACATTCACGACTAAGGACGGTTATTTTCCAAGTTGGTCTTTCTAACACGCAAAATGTGAAGCTCAGTGCTTTACAGGTGCTTGCTTCCCTTTTTGTGATACCGCTACCATATTCCAGTAAGTAGTAAAATTAGTGTGATTTGTAAAATGAGTAAGTTGCATGGCTAGTCAACTAGGTAACTAGTTAACTCGCTGTGTGCTTACAAAGCGTATAAGAGCGGATCATATAGCTAAGAAGTAAATGTAGTACATGAGGGGACGAGATAGGAGTATTTCCGGTTGACAGAAAACATGTAGGATTAGTAAATCCTCCGGTATGCCAGCTTCATTAGGCCGATATCCGCCGCCATGCCCAGTCTACCTAGACTGGAGCCCCCCTATGGGATAGTACGGATATATCAAGAGATTGTATCCACGAACCATCCATTGTCATCATTATACAGGTTGTATGGTGTCACTCCAGTCAGAACGGGATATTTTTGCTGCTCGTCCGTAACTGTGCAATTACCTGTTTCCCGCAAGCAACTTGCAATGAATTCACCAACATGTTTGCCTTCGAAGTAGGCTCCCTGTAAATAGCCAAAGAATTCCTGGCTGGTGGCCTCACCTGCGAAAAACACATTCCCGATGTTCGCACGCAAGTTTTGATGCGCTTGCAGACTAGTTGAGGGAGGCCAGTTGGAGTAGGATCCATACGCCCTAGTGCCGTTAGTGGCGTTCTGGGTGCCCGGACGATGTGGCGCAGAAACTTACCAAGGAGTTTGTGTCCACCGCTGGTACCAAAGATGAGTCGGGTCTGGGATATCTGGGCCGTACATGTTACGCAAAACTTCCATGACTTCAGCCTGTGTTTCTTCATTGGATTGCGCCTCTACTCGGTAAGACTGGTCGTTTACAACCGTCGCGACCATGAGACCTGATCCTTCCAACACCCCCGGGAGGTCAAGGGGCTGGAATTCGGGATAGTAGCCTCGAGTTTCAGAATCCGCATAGATGAGGTACTGCGCGTTATCCCAAAAAGGCTCCGAGAATTGCATGAAAATCTTGGTGTATGTTCCGAGCTCGAAGCTATGGATGGCATCTTTCTTCCAAGAAGGGAGTGTTGGAACAAAATCCACAACATTCTTCTGTAGAACTCCGAGTGAGAAGGTCATGATAGCGTAATCAGCATCGATGCAACCCTGATTAGTTCGCACAGTGACAGAGTCCCTGTTGTAGTCGACGCCCGTTACCTGCGTGTTCAGACGTAGACGGTTGTCGTTTTCCGGCAGAAATTCCGCCGCTTCCTCCCGAATGATAGTTGCAAAGCCACGCTGGTCATACACGAAAAGATTTTCCTCAGAGAAATAGTTGAAGGTCGCATTCTCAGCCACTGAGGTAAAGACTTCAGAGCTCTCACTAGGGGTGTAAACAAATTCGCCATCAAACAACCACCATTCAGCAGTCTGTCGGTAGGAATCGTTTTTGGCTGGGTCCCAGCCATGGAGGCGCAATCCGGCACGGAAAGACCGATCCTGGATGTTGTCCTTTAGGAGAGATCCTGCGTCAACGGTAACTCTGTGCAGAGCGTCTTGGAACTCGCTAATCGCATTCCCATAATTTGCTGGACCTTTCTCATCAAAATATGTCGTGTTATCCTGGTCAGTTTCCCTTCAATAGGCATTAGCAATCATTTATCTTATCTTAATTACCCAACCTCCATACATACAGGGTTATGATTTTGTTCTTCTTGGCCTATCAGAAAACTGTCAGCTGGATAGCCTCACAATATCCGCATGGAGTGATTTACCAAAGTGTAAATTGGGTTCTCGGGGCCCTCGCCCGTGACTGTTCCTTGCACCTGATACCAGTAAGTCACCTATAACGCTCTCCAAACGGAAACACCAAAAGCTTACCCAGTTTGCTCCTGCTTCGACTGTATACGGATTGCCGTCTGGTCCGCTGCCGAAGCTGACATCATGCATACGCCCTCCAATACGGTCTTGGTACTCAACCAGGAGGAAGTCATCAACCCCATTATCTGAGAGCGCTTTCTGTTTTTTGCATCCATGAGCATTGAATATGTAGATAGGGGGATTGAGGGACATCTTTCGTATAAGGGCAAACTTACTGCAGCTGTGACTCCAGCCACACCCGCACCCCTAGAGATTGTCAGTTCTGGTTCGTTCCAAAGGTCCGTGCAAGGCATAAAGTGTATGATGATCGTACAGTACAGCAACCTTAGTCTTTTCGCATGTTTGCGTTTGCTGGGCCTGCACAGCTAATGCGATAAGGCTAAAGGTAAGAAAACTTGTCACTTGCTTCATAACTTTTCAATGATCATAAAGCTATGATGTGCCGAACAGTGCAGGTAGACACAACGTCGTCCTGAATTGAGGTTCAGTTGGGAGCATGTAGCACCAACCGGAATTTTGTTTAATATAGCTTCCATCTAGAAATAAGGTTTTCATCGTTACAAGTCTGAAGCAAGGACACTTGACCCTTGATTCTTCTGTCAGGGCAAGAGGAATTTTGTACTACCATCATGGCTTGTTAGAATATTCACCATTTTACTTCATTTCATCCGTCTAGAATGTACAAGATCGTTCATTAATCTTTTTTAGTCATTTTTAGGTGCTTTTCCTATTACGGGAAGGTCTATTTCCATTGAGGTTCATATTGAGAGATAGTCGATTTGATTGTTCCTCCGATTCGTCTTTTGGCTACGAAGTTGAACAAGGAAACTTCAACGGGAATGGATATTTCTCATTCACTAGAAATTGCATTCCAAATAAGATAAAATGGCTTTCATTCAATGATGTGTAGGTCGAGAGATCAGCACATTCGTGTCTTTTGAATGCGTTAATAGTCAGAGAATAAAGCCGTAAAGCCACCAAGCTACCTACCAAGTTGAATGGCATTTACGGGGCAAGCTGGACCTTTTTCTTGGCGAAGGTCTGTGTAACGTTTCTTTGTAGCAATGCTAGATCAGCGATAAAATGCCTATAATTACCCGACCCCTACATTTAGTATACGAGGGTGTATCTCGGCTAGGGCTCGGAAACTAATTAGATATTAGTTAGTAATACTGAAGCCGTCTATCTGAAGTGTCGTAATAATTTGCTTATTAGAAAGACCAACTTAGAAATAAGCGTTTTTAGTTGCGAATGTAGGGTATGATTCACATTTTATAGTTATAAGATCCGCTTAACTCTGTATATTTTAAGACCTTGCTTGTATTATACGGGGTGTAATAGTAAGGGTAACTCCAGCCTCTTTAGGTTCTAGTTTCGAATCTGCCCCAGAAATCTTTTTGACTAGCTGAGCGCTAGTGAGTTTCTGTGCAGCAAACAAGGACTGCAGCTCAACCGCATCGAGGGAGAGAAAGTCGAGTAAAGAAGGGAACGTGGGTTTGTTTTCAGCGGCGCCCATGATCGCGGGAAAGGCGGATTCGGACGAGAACAGACGAGGTTGAGGCTGAATAAATCTAAGAGATTGTTGCAGTTCCGCCAGAGATATACAATTGGAAAAACTGGGAATTAGCCAGAGCTTACGAAACCCTTTCATTTTCATCCGTCGAGGGCGAAAATGAGGAGTTTGTGTTCGAGCGGCCGGTAGTTGGGGCTTGGGCCTTGAGCAAAGGACTGCTCCCCACGCAACCTCACAAGACCGCCCTTGTCGGATTATTGACCGTATTATAACAATTTCTTGAAAATTAAAGGAGCAAGGCTGCGACATGTTGCCCTCCCCCTCTTCCGCTACGAAATAAAGGCTGCAGGGGTTGGAACGCGTGCGTAGGTATTTCAAGAGGAGGTTCACCCTCAAGATGGAGAGCCACCCAGTGACTTGAGAAGGTTGCAGTCATTCTCACCTGAAGGAAAACTTTTCCCTCCTGTTACAATTAGCACCAATCATTTTTATTTTATTTTTTCAAAGCATGCCAAATGACACATAGTCACAGAGCAACATTCCCGTGGGGGTACACACTCTCATGTCGCCCAGCCTAGCCCGCTCGACCCAGAGTAGTAATAATACGGCTATGCTTTATTATATTATTATAATAACTTACCGAATTACGATTGAACTACATTGTTGATAAACAGACTATATCGCCTACATTTTAGAGATACATCGACTGGCAGGATATTTTCATCTCTGCTCCAAGTGAAGCATTTCAGAAATGGTCGACAAATCTGAAACCTGCTCGCATCGATAATAGAAACTCAGCGGAACTAGAGGACTGAATGTGGGAAAGAGAACTTGTCCAGAGGGACATTAGCCCTGGGAACGGAGAGGAATGATAGGAGTTTTTTATTGCTCATGTATTGATGACTGGTCTGTATGGCTGTCCCTAAATGGGATGACTCTGTAAGATA